GCCGAGCCGAGCCGGACGGACGGCGGCGGCGGCGCGCGCGTGGGGGGTGAGTCCAGTCTCTCTCATGCGCCATTTGAACAAGTGATAGAGTGAACACATATATATACCACTCTATTTTACCTCTCCTAGTCGATGTGGGACAAATCCCATTTCTTTCATTAATGCTAGCAAGGCTTTTTATTAACCCTTTAGCCCATTTCTATTCAAAACTTGCCTTTTTATTAAATAGCCATTAGGCTTTAAATAAAATGGCCCAACAATCCCCCACATTAATAGAAATGACTCTAAAAATATGCAGACTATATGCAGACTCGATAGACTCTAATTAAAAATTCTTACTTTATCCTGACTAGACTAGACTAGACAGACTTATCGAGAGTGTTTGCGAAAAATTCACTGTGTTTGAGTTGGTGGCATTTTTAAGCCTTGAACCACTCATAGTTAATATCCGTCGGGTTTACTTTACCAGAAGGTGAACATGATGTCTTGAACCAACCGATGTTTTATGTAGACCGAGACAACAGGCATAACGCAGCTTCATTTTCTCGTAGAACTTAGTTCTCTATTGTGTTCATTGTGGCCCTGAACTATTCCTGGTTTTCATGAGTGAACTTAGAGAATATAGCCTTGCATTCATTCTCCTAGAAACGGCCTCATTTCACACTCATTAGGTGATTGACCATAAAAGTATTGAGTAATACTTCGCTTTAGAAGCTATGGAATCATTAAAAGCTAATGCTTATCCTTACATTTCGTAGCACTTTTATCATCTTAGGTGCTGGGAAGAGACTACTTTGTCTCAAGTGCTTTGGTTAGATTTTGTTTGATTTTGTTTTCCCTTTGAACCTACATCTTGGGATCTCCAGTCATGATAGGTAGGGTTGCAATCAAACATCTTCTTTTGTAATAGGCTTTAAACCCATTCCTTTTGATGATTTAGCAACAATATCTCGTGGCAAACCTTTAGTAAATGGATCCGCTAGGTTGTCAGCTGATTTGATGTAGTCTATTGTGATTACACCAGTTGAGATAAGGTGTCGAATGGTTTTATGTCGTCTTCTGATGTGACGAGATTTACCATTGTAGAGATTATTCTGAGCCCGAGCTATAGCAGATTGACTATCACAATGTATGCGTATAGCTGGCACAGGTTTCTCCCACATAGGAATATCTTCCAAAAAATTTCTAAGCCATTCAGCTTCTTCTGCAGCTTTGTCTAAGGCTATGAACTCAGATTCC